CCCTAGCCCACTGGGGCAGCGAGCGAGTGGCTGTGGGGTACTTAGCTGCCTGCTGGGGTTAAACCACAACGGTGTTGAAGGGTTCATGCTCTCTACCCTAGGAGGAGACAACTGCTGTATCAAAACACTAAAGTGCAAGATAAACATACACATCAAAACTGGCAACACTCAGGAAATGTTTGTCTAATATATATTGCATCTGTACACTTAAATGATTCAATAGTTTTGTCACAACCACAGACACATGCGATATAAACAGTATCTTAATGGTCATTTTTAGATGCTGGCAGGTGCTCTTCTGTAATTTTTTTTCCAACCTGCTTTTCTTTTTGGGCAAATCAAGTTTAATATAATTATTGATAAGGCTATTTTGCTTTATTTGTGTTTTTTTCTTGTTACTATCTTGGTATTATTTGAATTGACTTAAATATTAAATTCTTCCAGCAAGGGGCCTGTCCAGATGGGCTATGCAGCAAGGCAGGCACCTGGATAGCACGCATTGGCCTGTCCTTTCCCCTGGAGCACGCCCTCGGTTCTGTTAAACAAAGGTAAGTAAAGCAAATTAAGCAAGCGTAAGAATCCATAGAGGGACTGATGGATGAGACTCACCGAAGTGAGAGGTATCACCAAGATTTCCAACTAAGATAAAATCTGTAACTGCTTGTGGATTTTTTAGCACACCGTTAAAAGAAAAGGTCTGACCACAAAATGAGGATCCAGACTTTACATATAGGGAATCTCTGATCATGACTGTCAAAGTGATGGATAGATTTGGATTAGGGATTCCAGCTAGGACTAAATTCTCATAAACAAATAACTTGATCTGCTGGGGTAGTAAAAAGCAAGAGTTCAGGACTCTGATCTCACAGATCCTCTAAAAAACTGCATTTCCAGATCACAAGGAAGCTTAGTATCATTAAAGGGCATTTGTTCAATCCTGACTCAAAGGAAATGACACTAGCTTTTGAGTTGGCAAAGCTACTCTGAATCTTTGGGAGATCCCTGGAGGTCTTCCTGCTAAGGACAGGCACTTGTATATGATGAATGAAGAGCAGCTGTAGCGCTGGGTTTCTGTACAAGCCATAGGCTGAAACTTCACCAGAGGAATCTGTCAGCATAAAATTTATAAATATCACGCAAATTCAAGCAGCTAGTGACTGCTTCACCAACAGGTTGTAAGTAAAGGGCAATATATGTTGATATATGTGCAGACCTGAAGAAAAGCTTGTATGTTTTATATCATATTGACAGATATAATGAATGTTACTACCTCATCATACACCTTGTTTTTTCTGAGTAAACTATGTATTAAAACTAGTTAGTTCAGCTTTAATTATGAGTGTGCTTTTTCCAATGCCGTTTTTTTTATCTATTGAAGGCTAGCTTTGTGCTCTCACAATGTAAGTGTGATTTGATTCTCCCTGTTATCCCACCTGCCTCTTCAAACACCACCCCGTTCCTTCTCCCTTTCGTCTCAAAGCTCTACAGTCCCTGCCTGGACTTTCCTTCTACTAAAATTGCTTCTCAACTTCATGCCTTCTGACCTACCAGCTGCCTTCGACCCATTTAATCACATGCCTGGAAATCTGATGCTCCCTTGACTCCTGTGACTCCTTGGCTCCTCCTGTCCTCTTACTATGATTTCTCTAATCAGTTTTCCAGCACGTCCTTCTGTCTCATTCCCTCCACCCCAGGTTTCTGATGAAACCTTTTTTCCCCACCCACTTTAGTTTCTTCCCCTTCTCTATGACACTATTCATACATGTTCAGCAATCACTTCAGTGCTGACAGTTCAGAGATCTTACTCCTTTTACCTGCTTTTCCATTTAGACTAAAATGTTGACCTCCAGCTCTGATACCTTTAGCTGACGGCTCTGCACAGCTAAAACTGAGCTCTTAAATCCCTCCCCTAAAGCACTCCCTCCTAGTTCTTCCTTTGATTGCTCAGGACAGCACTAACATCCTGCCTCTTATTCAAGCCTAAAAACACAAACACACCGGAGAAGGTTTTTGTTACGGAATCTCCTTTCTAGGCCTGTATATATAGGTTATGTCTTAATCTAGAGAATTCTTTTTTCACACGTTGTCCTAAAGGGCTTTTTCTAGCCATTCAAACAGCTAAATCTCCTACCCAGCTCACCTCAGTTAGCAGTTTTGCAACATCTTTTCATAGTGCTTGACAAATTCAAGCTACCATGCTCGTATCCTGCCAGTCTTTTGCTGTACAGAGCATTTTCCTAGTCTGCCATTTTGACAAAACCTCTATTACCGTGACTCCTTCACAGCCTCTTCCCTACTGCATGTATTTTCCTGAATTATCCCTACATGACCTGTTTTTCCTCTCATGGAGGCTTTCCATTCATAGACCATGATGGCAGCTTTCACTGACATGTTTTCAAAGAAACCGGTCTGGCCTTTTCCACAGGCTTTCCCACGTGATAGGAGGAGCTCCTTGAAAGCATCCATAAAATGCTATCTCCTTAACATCTGCCTTTGCTGACACATCTACAAAAATCTTGGTATTTGCAAAGGGTGCCAAGACTACTATGAATTCAGCTCACCCTTTCACCAGCCTTAACTGAAGCTGCGTTAAAAGAATTCTCTTATTCCAAATGTTGTTTAGCAGGATAGTATATATCCCTCTGCTCATTAATGATAACTTGACCCTTTGGTAAAGGTGGATTGTCAAAGGAATAGTTTTTGGCTTTTAAAACCAGATTCAACATTCAAAATTATGGGCTGTAAAATTTCAGTAAATAATAATTTCTGGTAGTTCCAGTAAGAATACTCAAGATCAAATCTGTCTTTACTCTTTCTATTGCACAAAAGATGATACAAAATTGCTTATGTCCAAAAAGAAAAGTTAGTCTAACTCTTAGTTTCTATGGTTAGTAACAACAAAGCTTATCAGTTGCAAACGTACTTTCTGAAAATATTCTGATGTAGTCATATAAGGTGTTATTGGACAAATGTTCTGGCCAGTAACTCCCTTAATACAAAATCTACAGAAATCAAGAACAACCACAGTGCTGTGCAGAAAACTCAGCGATGAATGTAGGCAGATCTACTGAAATCAACAGAACTGCTCCGTTATAAATTCTTTGGGGATCTGATAAGCATCTGGTCCATATTTAAAAATTCTCAGTTCTCCCAGCTGGATTTCCAATGTTCATTATTGTTTTCTATATAGAAATTGTAGTTTTCTTGTTTGTCTCTTTTTTTTTTTTTCTTTATTCTCTACATAAAGAAGGACCAAATGGCAGTTCTAGAAATACACACACTATACCAAATTATTAGCGTCTACTACTTATTTGAGTCCCATCTCTAAACAGCAACCTTAAAGACTACTTACTTCTGGTATTTATCCACTGACTTCAATGGGGTTGCGTTCATGTTTTTTGTTTGGCTTTTTATTTTTTTTTACCCATGCTTATGTATTTTATATCACGCATTATTTAAAGTTTGCAGCTGGCAACAGCATATAAAAGATATTAGTATTTAAGGAATACTGTAAGCATAAAATGTACAAATAACATGTGCAGGGAGCACATTTGCTGATCCATGCTAACTATCTCTTTTAGGAACTTAATGCCCTGGTAAGCCTGTGCCTGGCAGGTTTAGACCTGTGCACTAATGATCACTGTGCCTAGCAATTATTTAT